ATTCACAGCATCGGATTTAGGGCTCAATTTCTTAAACAAAGTAGGAGGTTAAGTAATCTGCTAAAATTGACCTAAGGCTAAAGGAGATCTCCAAAAGAGAAATTAGAAAGTCAATAAGGTTTATTAAGGCTTATCATGATTGCAAAAGCAAGGGCCCAATTGAAGCTAAACTCCAAAAATGTGTAGTAGGTCCAATAAAGACTGTTTTATTATTTCATACTTGACTGGTCAAGAAGAGGAGTCAAGTAGGTGAATAGTGAGATTCATCACTCAAGACAGGGAGTTTAGCAGAGATGGTGAAAATTCAAGGACACAGAAGAGACCATTTCGAAATGACTAACCATTAACTTGAGTTTGGTTAGAGAGACAAGGGAAGCCAGAACAAGAGGTGAAAACTGCAGCTTGTTCAGGGCAGGGATTACTTCATTTTTGGTTTTGTATTCTCAGAGAGGTAATGGTGCAGAGTGGATGGAAAGCCAGCCAACCCAAGTTCAACCCAAGGTGGAAGCCTTTGGCACATACTGGCTGAGTGACCCTGGGCAAGTCACTTAACCAATCTGAAGAAGATATCTGATCATGTAATAAGTTAAAACTTAATAAGCACAAATGTAAAGTCCCACCCAAAAAAAAAACCTGTTTCTAATTAGCTATTAAGTACAGGATGGGGATGAACAGTCAATCATGTTTTTTGTTGTTGTTCAGTCTTTTCAGTTATGCCCAATTCTTTGTGACCCCTTTAAGGTTTTCTTGGCAAAGATACTGTAGTGGTTTGCCATTTCCTTCTCCAGCTTGTTTTACAGATGAGGAAACTGAGGCAAACACAATTAAGTGACTTGCCCAGGGTCACATAGCTAGTAAGTGTTTGAGGCCAGATCTGATCTAAGAAAGGGTTTTAGTAGAATATAAACTTAATGTGAATCAATAATGTAATATGTAACAGTCAAAACAACAAATGAGGTTTTAGACTAAATTAACAAAAGCTTAGGGCCCAGCATGAAGGAGGTGATTGTCTAGCATACTCAGGTCAGACCACAGTGGAACACCTTTTCCTATTCTAGGCACCAGAATTTAGGGGAGACACTGAGAAGTTATAGTATATCCACAAAGGAGTACAAGTTCTAGAAACCACGTCTGGTTTAAAAGAACCATTTTAAAGAATTGCTTAAGCTGAAGAAGAAAAGACTGGGAACAGAGAGAGATCATGACTGCTGTTTCCATATATTTCAATGTCGTATAGGAGAGATGGCCCACATTTTTTGTTCTGCAGAGACACGGAGAACAGAACTTCAGGCAATAGTAGAAGGTATAGGAAAGCAAATTTCACAAGACGAAGACTTCTCAATATAAACACTTCACAAACCACAAAAGCTGCTGCAAAACAGTCAATCCCCAAATTTATTAAACAGCTATCAAGAACCCAACATTATGGTAGACCCTGGAGATAGAAAGACAAAAAAAACAGTTCCTAGCCTCAAGGTGCTGACATTCTCACAATAAAAGTAGAGCAGGCAACCTGGAGTCACTCTAGTAATGAAGGAAAGGCTGGACGAGTGCCCAGGATATTATAGAAGGGCTTCAAGTTACAGTTGGATTAGATAACCCTGAGGTCCCTTCTAATGCTGAAATCAATCTATATATTAACAATAATATATTTCTGAATCAGAAAAGGGGAATAATCAGCCAAAGGACTAATAAAAACAAAGTTTGACCTTCAATTATGCTACTAATATCTGTAGGGGATTGGCACAACACAAATCTTTGCAGATTCCTTTTAGGCTGGCAGCCCAATTTTTTAAATAGTACAGACTTTTAATGAACCTAAAAATGGGCCCCAGTTACCACAGGAATAATTAAAGACCTTATTGGATCTCTCAGCTAAGGAACTAAAAGAGGATGTATTATCTCCAAAGATGTTAGAATAATCCCAATTGGAGGGTAGGCACCAATTGTTCCTATATTGTTTACACAGGTAAACAGCTCAGGCTTCTCCCCTGTATCTTCTCAATACTTAAAAATTAAATAAAAAGCTATTGCCCAATAGCTTTCAAGAATGTAGCAGAAAAGGGGCAGCTAGGTGGCATAATGGATAGAGCACCGGCCCTGAAATCAGGAGTACCTGAGTTCAAACCTGGCCTCAGATCAAATACTTGACACTTACTAGCTGTGTGACCCTAGGCAAGTCACTTAACCCCAATTGCCTAAAAAAAAAAAACAAAAAAAAAAGAACGTAGCAGAAATTCAAGTTTAAAAGTAGTTATCAAGTGCACATTATGTATAAGGTCTAGTGATAAATGATGAGGGGGGATACATAGGAGAATAAAGTTCCTGCCCCTGAGTTTAGCTTGCAAACTAGAAGACTAAGCAAAACAATCTCCAGGCCTTATCCACACCAAACAAGGGTACTGACCTTTTAGTCTACAAGGTCAGGATGCAAGAAGGAGTGGCCTAGAATGAATTCACACACACACACACACACACACACACACACACACACACACACACACACACACACACACACACACACACTTCCAGTCCAGTGGCAAAGTTGGTTATAATGCCACAGAAGTGGGTGGAAGTTCCTAGTGAATGTGCAAACTAATGAGGATGAAGCAGATAGAATGCGAAAGGATCTTTGTGGGATTAAGAGTCTAGGGTGAGCCAGGTCCAACAGTGAAAAGAATATCAAGTAGGCTAATTAGGTGATCAGGGTGGGTTGAGGTGGGCCAGGTAGCTGGGGAGGCTGCAGAGGGCTCCAGTGATCTGGGCTGCTGAAATGTATGGGAAAATTCAGGGCCTGGGTTGCTTTCAAAGACATGGTTTTTTAGGGGTCCAGGTCCCATCATCCCATTATCTACCATAGGTAGATTAGAAAGGTTCTTGAGGGTAATAGTCACTCTAGAAATATCCTAAGAAAAGGTTAACACTGTCCAGCACTGGCAGGTTAAATGTTGAATTGGCTACTTAAAAAAAAAAAATCCAAACCAAAATGATTTTAGACACTACGGTTAAAAGGCAATGGTGATATACTGGATGAAGTAGTTCTTTTATAAAGTTAATTTTCAGTTCCCTATTTTTTATATTCAGAAACCCATTCTTGGGTTTTCTGTTTTAATCTTTTCACCATTCTAAAGATCCTGTCTCTTTGCTCTACAGGCCTCCCAACAACCTCTGACCAAAGGCAATATAACTCTAACCTCGTGATTGACTGTATCCTGACTCCACAGGAATGTCCAAGCTCTCCTTTCATGCTATGTTCTGAAGAATCCCAGAATCAATCCCAAGCAGAGTTGATTCATGTTTATGCATTACCAACGAACACCTAACAATGTAAATGGTTAACACTTACATGTTTAGGCTTTTGAGTCCCTGACTACACATTACCAATACATTCCACTAGAATGAAACCAATAGACTTTTGTAGTAGCAAAATATACACATGGTTATGTGATATATAAGGTGGGTATTCATCATTTGGGAAACATCTGAACAAATTATGGCATATGAGCTAACTGTAAGAAATGAATGGCAATGAGGTATTCAGAGAAACTTGGAAAGACTTGTGCGGTCTCACACAGAGAGAAAAAAGCAGAATCAAGAGAATAATATACAAGCTGGCCACAATAACACACAAAGGAAACAACACTAAAAGACATCAGAATTCAGATCAAGGAAATAGCCAATCTTGATTCTGGAAGACTGATAATGAAGCCAGAGAAACTTATTATATTGCACTGTTAAGGGAAACTTCTCTGCATTTACACATTTTATCTTTTCCCTAAGATGAAGTAATACAAAAAGTTCAAGTACTCCTTGAAAAATCACTGACTGGACGAAAATATTCAAAGATTGGTTTTGGTCAAGAACTTTGGTCACTAAAAGATTACCAAGATTCAATTTGCTTACAAAAAAACCCGGAAGAGGGAAAGTAAACATTTTTAAAACAGTAGCCCAAAAATATTTAGATTTATGTAACTAAGGAAATAGAAAGTGAATAAATATACAAGAAAGGGCAACTAACTGATAAGCAAGAATTAGCATTCCTTAAGCTGCAAACATCAATTCCTACTTAGAAGGAAAAAAGCTTCAGAATTTTGGCAGAAAAGGTGATTGACTTTGTTTACTATAAAAGCCCTGTCTGTCCAATTTAAACCGTGGTAAATAGAGCGCTTAGAAAAATAAAAAATGCTTAGAAAATGGAGCATATGGAGGAGCACCAAACTGTTTACAAGGGTAATCTTGGTCACATTCCTGGCTGGTAAAGTCTAACAATTTTTAGCATTACAAAGTAAACTACCTTAATTTTCACAAACAACTGAACTGTGGTGCTGAAATGCTTTACAAAAACAAATAAGTCTGTCCAGAAACTTCAAACAAAGCTTTTTGGAATTAGGAGCAAGGAACCATAAAAATTACTTGCTGTAAGTGCATACTGGCTTCTTTTATAAAATAAGACTTTCTGCCTAGGGATTCAGCCACTGGAATTTTTTTCCATATATTAATAGATGATACTGAAGTTGGCTCTAAGGCATCCTTGAAACAATGCCAAATGCTGTTTCAAAAGGCAAAAGCCAATCAGAAACCTGTGCCATTATTCCTAAAACTCTCCAATAAAAAATGCCATTTCCCATAGCTAACATTTTTAAACCTATAAAATCAAAACCTAAAAAAAAGGCCCGTTCAAGGAGACTGCAGCCTGCTGAGTTTTCACAAGCTCAGATGCAATCATTCCATGTGCTGAATTCAAAACCCTGTTCAATCTTTATAAAAACTTCACTTGCACATCAACAGATGCTCGTGTATGAACGTCTTCGGAATATGCTTTCGAGCTGTTATTTTGCTTTGCCGTCTATCCCCCCAAACTGTTGCAAACATAGGGAGTAAATCTGTTCACTAAACCTCAAACCCAAATGGTCTGATGTGCTTGCTACCACCTTGACTACCCGAGTTAACGTCTGGGGACGAATCAATGACTTTATAAAATAGGGAAACAGGTACAGTACCAGCGGGCAGCAGGCATTCCAGCGGGGTGAAGACATGCTCCATGTCAGATTATTGGCTTCTGCCTTAAAAACATAAAAAAAAAACAACCAAATCACTTGGTTAGACTTTCTCTTTGCTACGTGAAACGGAAAAGCCCAGAGGGCAGACGCCGATTGGGGAACATGATAGCCCCGGGAGGCGAGTGCTTTGGCTGGGGTGGGGGGAAGGGGGGTCGGGATCGCCTCCCACACAGCCCACTTGGGCTCACGCGCGACCGGCGGAGCGCGCGTACCCTCACTGCGAACCCGCAAGGAGGACTGCAAAGGGGAGGAAGCAGGACAGCAGCCCCCACGTGGAGATAGCTGGGGGATGTGCATAAATGGAGAACGTAGGCTTTCCTGCCTTCATCCATCACCCCTTGGAAGAAAGACTTAGGAGTGGGGAGAAGGTGGAACTGGGGAGATGGTGAGAACCGCAGCCCCTATGCCTCCCCACTCCCCCGCCCGCTATGATGCAGCCGCAGCTGCGCCGCCCGCGCGCACGCACGGGCCGGCGTCCCACTTACACAGCTGCTGGAAGAGCCACCCGCCAGGCGAGGCAGAGAGCAATTAAGTAACTAAGAGCAAAGGCAATCGACTGCTCGGCGCTCGACCACAAAGCCTCCGGAGCCTTTCCGACCAAGGCTGCTAAAGTAGGAAGAAGCAAAGGCCCCGCCCCCTAGCCGGGCGCGCGCAGCGCCTCCTCACCTCCCCGCCCCTCGTGGGGAGGAAAAGGGGAAGAAGGGGGAGGAGCAGAGCCGTGAAAGTGACCTGGGAGCTTCCAGCCCGGGCCGGAGCTGCGGGGTGCTAGCTGCGGAATGTTATACACTGTCAGAACCTGTAGGGTCCTTAGTCTACGCCTACCCCTACTTAGATGAGTAAACAGTCCCAGAAAAGAGCATTGATTATGGAGGCTGAGGCTTTGGGTTCAAACGCTGCCTCGACTAGACACAATCCATGTGACCATGGGCAAGTCACAGCCGCCCAGCTTTAGTGTCCTCACTTATTAAAGGTTGAAGTTGAAGGGGATGGAGGAGAGCTCTAAAATCCCTTGCAAGGTCTAGACTGATGCTGCTGCAAAACTTTTGCGTGTTCGGAAAGTCTTAGTGCAGTTTTAAGTTTTAATAACAATGTAATATTAATAACTTAATAAGTTGTTAATTTAATAACTTAATGAGTTATTAATAACTTAAATAATGTAAATTCATATGAATTAACAAAAAAAACAAACCCACCTCATTTGAAAGTTTAGCTACTTAAATTTCTTTCAAGCTTATTTGGTTCTGTGAATTTTGAATGATGAATTTTTACTTAAATGAGACAGGTCACCCAGTCATTATGCATTTCACACGTGTGACAGTTTCTACATAACATTTTATTAGACTGGTAGTTGGGTAGGGGAGGTCCTTTTAACTGGTCATCTTGGTTGCTTGATCTATCTCCATTAGCCTTTGTTTTTCTTGAGGGGTCATGTCAAAACTGTCCTGTATGACAGCTAATGTGGAAATATGTGTTGCAAAAAGGGGAGGGGCGGAAGGGAGAGAATTTGGAACTCAAAATTTTGTTAAATGATTCTTTAAAATAGAGATAGAAAGAAAGAAAAAAACTTATATACATCAAAACCTTGCATGGGTGATTTTAAGGCTAAAATTATAAACAATCCTTTCAGTCACTGAGCAAAAACAAATATTGAAAAGTTAATACAAAGTTGGAAAATTGACTAGATTGATGTGTAGCACAAGACTGGTTATATTCAATTTTAATAAGAAACATCATTATTTTACATTTTAAATTACCTTTCAGGGGTTTTTGTTGGGGGTTTTTTTTTGGCAAGGAAATCTGCACTAAGATTTCTGGGACACACTGGATCTGTAGAGATCTTTGCAAATCTCTTATTCTCTAAAAAGAAACCCCATCTTCTTGGCACTTTCACCAGATGTCTTCCAGGCTTGGGATGCTCTCTTCCTCATCTTCACCTCATAGTTTCCCTGGCTTTCTTGAGTCCTAGCTAAAATCTCACCTTCTACAGGAAGCCTTTCCCAATCCCTCTTAATTCTAGTGCCTTCCCTAGGTTGAATTATTTCTCTTTTATACTGTATAGCTTGTTTGCACAGAGCCGTTTGCATATTGTCCTCTCAATTAGACCGAGCTCTTCCAGGGCAAGGGTTGTCTTTTGCCTTTCCTTGTACTCCCAGCTTTAACACAGTACCTGATATGAAAAAAAAATGATTATTAATAACAGATATATTGGGCAAAATCAGAGCTTCCCCCAACCCCCTTCTCCCAAAGTCCTGACTTTAAGTTTGATTTTTCTTCAGAAGGTCATTACTGACAGATTGCATTGACTCCTGGTCAGCCCCAACCCAAGCATGCATGGAATTTAATCTAAAGTTGGGAAACCCATGGTATTCTACTCAAACTTGGGTGGAGACAGATTCTCTTGTCTAGATGGCCCAAGGCTGAGAGTGGTGTGATATAGCTAGGGGGTGGTTTGATATAGAGAATTTTTTTTTCCACCCAAAGGTGAAATGTTGATGGAGTGATAGTGATGGGGTATGAGCTCAAGCCGAGACCTCTGCCCCTTACTTCAAAGGGAATCTGGCTCCCATTTGTCTACAAGCCCCCAAAAAACCTTAAACTTTTACTCTCCTCATCTCCCTTTGAAAGCCCTAGCCCCACCTTTTGCCTTTCAAACGTCTTCCTTCCAGTTCTCTTCATTATCTATTCCCATTGTCTATTCAGTCTCTCAGACATTCCAATTGGAATTCTCCCTAAGTCACCCAGACCCTCTTCCCAGGCCCTTCTCTGGTCACCCAAAGTTACTTTAGTATATATAAGATCCACCCTAGCCCCCATTTAAACGCTGAGATTTTCTCATGCGCTCTCATCCCTACGGGCGGGCGTCACTAATATTTAGATTCCTTAAATCTGGCCTGTATGGTTTATCTCTAATAAACTTTTTCTCTGGCTAAAAGATTTGGGTTGAATTCATTCAGGCAGGGCCCACGTTTCATGATCTCGGGGTCCCAGCACTGCTAAACCTCTAGACTTCATCAATGGCAGCTAGGGTTGGAAGGATATATGAACCATGCAGCCTAACCCCAAAAGCGAACTCAGTTGCTGACTGCTGCTCTCCTGCATTCATATGTATGCCCACCTGCTTTGAGAGAAATGAGAAATAAACTGGAATACAGCCTAAATCTGTCTTTCTTAGACCAAATTCTGGAGGCTGACACTGGCATGCCTGTAGGTGCTTAATAAATTCTTACTGACAAACCTGAAAGCACTATAGAAATGCTAGCTATTGTTATTGTTAGTACCTGGCATAAGGTCACGCCCATAATAATTGTCAGAATAGTTATTATTTCCTCTTTTATGTTAACTGGATGTTCTAGGTCAGGGCTGGGGAACCCTTTGACTCAAAGGGCTGCACTTGAGGACCTAGAGGGCCATTTGTGGCCTCAAGGCCACAGGTTCCCCACCTCTCTTCTAGAACCTTTTTTTTTTCTGGGGGAGGACTCCAAGTCAGTTCACTCAATAAAAGTTTTATTAGGGGGCTACTAGGTACTGGGAACTGGGGTTAAGCCCTGGGGATACAAATACAAAAAAAAAAAACAGTTCCTGACCTCAAGGAGCTTACAATCCAATGGGGAAAGAGAGCAAACAAAAGGGAGCTGAAAAGCAAGGCTAGAGGTAGAAGAAGGAAGGAGATGGGCACAGTGGAGAAGTCAGTCAGAGAAGTCCCAAAGTAGTGCAGCTGGGTGGGAAATAAGGAGATGTCTGAGCTGGGCTCTCTCCTTAACTAGAGGTTTGGAATTATGGCCTTATCCTCCAATCAGGCAGCTAGATGGCACAGTAGATAGAGCTCCAGCATTGGCATCAGAAGGACTTGAGTTCAAATCTGGCCTCAGACACTTGACACTTGCTACCTGTGTGACCCTGGGTAAGTCACTTAACCCCAACTGCCTCACCAAAAAGAAAAAAAAAGAGGCAGAGAACAGTGATGCTTTCAAGTCCCAAGGCTGATGAAATCTTGCAGCAGGATGAGGTTCCTGGGACTTGGTAGAGAAGTCAGAAGTCCTATAGCTGAGGAGCCTTCCTATCCAATGAAGATGGACAGCCCTAGAGAGTTTTCTGGAACCGGAGAGATTAACTGACTAGCCTAAGATTTCACAGCAAGTATGTCAGAGGAGGCATCTGGATGTAGGTCTTTCTGACTTCCAGACACACTCTATTCTCTTGCCTTGTCTCCACGTACTGCTTTCTCTGGGTCTTAAAGCATGTTCCAGAATCCCTTGTCTGGAAAAAGACCTCTTCAGCCTGATACTCCCACGAGCTATTGTCCTCCCTTTCATCACCCAGATCCAGGAAGACTGCGCTCATTTGCCTAAAACAAGTCAGTTAACATCACCATGTCTTTCTCCTATAAACCTCTATAATCTGACTTCTGAGAAAAATTATTATCTTCTTATTCAATTAATAGCCAATTTTATACCCAAAGAAGTTTTGTTTTGTTTTATTTTTCCTTTTTTCTTCCTTGTGAAGGAGTAGGCTGACAATGAGACGCCCCCACCCCAAATTGGGAGAGTTTAGTTCTGTTAAAGGGTAAAGAGAACACAATCTGGGTGAATTCAGTCCCATTGTTCTACTCAGGTTAGACAGAGTGGAGGATAGAACCTTTTGTGGGGTGGACTAGGTAGAGATGGGTCTCTTAGTCCAAGAGTAATCTCATCAAAGTCTCTTTTCCCCAACTCCTCATTAGAATAAACCCATCTCTCATAATAACATTCACTCTCATTAATTGTTAACCAAGTTGATTCCCACCTGTCAGAGACATCCAAGGGTATTTAAGCATTCAGAGACTGCCAAGGTTTGTCTTTGATTGCTGAGGGAAACCACTGACCTCTATTTATTGATTTTTCACTAGCCATAATCAATAAATTGATTATTAATTACTCAGAAACTATGTCTCTCAAAATTTTCATTCATCATACTTTCGAGCAAAACCCTCCACCAAAGCAGGTCTTCCAATGTCACTAATAACCTCCATTTTTAGTCCCCATCCTCTTGAACCTCCCTTCAGTACTGAATAATGTTGAATAAACCTTCATGCTTCATTTTTTGGTCGTACTGCAGACATAATCTAAACCGAGAAAGGAATGTTAAAAGGTATCTAACTTTTCACTCAAAGCAGGAATTCTATTATTCTTCAAAAAATTCTAATGATTAAAATTTCAAGAGAAGTACTTCAGCTGACATCCAGGAGCAAACAGAATGGATTAGAAACCAGAATCCAACAGTATATTGTTTAAAAGAAATACACTTGAAACAAAGAGACACACAGGGTAAAAACAAGGGGCAGGAGCAGAATCTATTATGCTTCAGCTGAAGCAAAAAAAGTCAGGGGTAGTACTCATGATCTCAGACAAAGCAAACACAAAAATAAATCTAAATAAAAGGAATAAGCAGGGAAACTACTTGTTAAATGGAA